GATCATTTATTCCTGTTTATCATCCATTTGTTCTATCTGTTCTATGAAGTGTAGGTTTATGTATATACCCATTTTATTGATAATACAGGTTTATTATCAGTTATATTCACTAAATATTAATATTTTCTTCCTTATTTTAATTCTGAAATATTTGCTCCACAAAAAAAGGGCCATAGACCTCAAGAAAGCTAAGGTGTTTTTCTTGTTAATAAATATATCCCCCCCAAAATGTCAATAGTGCATTAAAAAAATTAAAGCAGTACCTAGGAGGCCTGAAGATACTAGCAAACTACCCTGGCTTAGTCACGCTGTAGTTCTTTTTTTCTTTTTTACTTAACAGGAAAAGATGGACATGGTTGAAGAGATTAACAGACAAACCCATAGACAGAAGACACTCTAGTGATTAGACATAAGAGGTCTTTTATCAAGCTGCTTGCACAAGAGTTCCAGCTCTACTGCTTCCTTGATATAAAAATTATTGCAAGGAACTTAAACTCTCCTTCCACAGTTTCCTCATCTACAAAGTGGAGATTATGAAATCTATTTTCATAGGGTTGCTACATTAAATGAGATAATCTCATATGCAATATTTAAAACAATATCATGTAAACAGTGAGTGCTCACTGTTTACCTGATATTAATTATTATATATTTAAATATTCTAATTGGATAAAAGGTGGTACTATATTGCATCTCTCTATTTATGGTCTATGTGGCAAGTAAACCTCCTCTATGGTACAGAACTTCTTCCAGAGTCCTAAATTGACCCAATCCTGAGGACCTCCGGCCTTCCTAAGAAGTCAGTGTCTCCTGTGATACAGGGCAAGGAGTGCCCTGCACAGTGTTCATGGTTCAAGATCTACTACCTCTCCGAGCTCTACAGATAGAATCCATGGTCTCTCCACCACTACCCCAGGTTGTTTTACATTTATATTTTAAACAAAACATTAATGTTTCATTAATTTTCTAATTATTTATGTACTTTTTCTTATGGTTTTATTTAAAAACCATGTAGATTTAGCCTTGACAACTTGTCTTTAAGGTTTCAGCCTCCTGGAATCTAAAATGTGGTCCCTTCTCAATACCTGATATCAAACTGTATTACAAAGCCACTGTAATCAAAACAGCCTGGTACTGGCATAAAAACAGGCACATAGACCAATGGAACAGAACAGAGAGCCCAGAAATCAACCCAACTCTCTACAGTCAATTAATATTCGACAAAGGGGGCAGTAACATTAAATGGAGTAAAGATAGCCTCTTCAACAAATGGTGTTGGGAGAACTGGACAGCTACGTGCAAAAAAATGAAACTTGAGCACCAACTTACACCATACACCAAAATAAATTCAAGGTGGATAAAAGACTTAAATATAAGCCATGACACCATTAAAGTCCTAGAGGAGAACATTGGCAAGAAAATCTCAGATATTCCACACAGCAACATTTTTACGGATATGTCCCCTAGAGCAAGGAATATAAAGGAAAGAATAAACAAATGGGATCGCATCAAAATAAAAAGCTTCTGCAGGGCTAAAGAAAACAGTATTAAATTAGCAAGACAACCAACTGTATGGGAAAACATATTTGCCAATGATACCTCAGACAAAGGTTTAATTTCCAAAATATACAAAGAACTTACACAACTCCACTCTAGGAAGACATCGAACCCAATTAAAAAATGGGAAAAGGACTTGAACAGACACTTCTCTAAAGAGGACATACAGAATATCCAGAGACACATGAAGAGATGCTCAATATCGTTAGCTATCAGAGAGATGCAAATTAAAACCACAATGAGATACCACTTTACACAAGTCAGGATGGCTATAATAGACAAAGCAACAAACAACAAATGTTGGAGAGGGTGTGGGGAAAAGGGGACCTTAGTTCACTGTTGGTGGGATTGCAGACTGGTACAACCATTATGGAAAACAGTATGGAATTTTCTCAGAAAAATAAAAATCGACCTGCCTTTTGACCCAGCAATTCCACTGCTAGGATTATACCCCAAGAATCCTAAAACATCAATTTCAAAGAACATATGCACCACAATGTTCATAGCAGCACAATTTACAATAGCCAAGAGTTGGAAGCAACCTAGGTGCCCATCAGTAAACGAATGGATCAAAAAATTGTGGTACAATGGAATTCTATGCAGCAGAGAGAAAGAAGGAGCTACTACCTTTTGCAACAACATGGATGGAACTGGAAAGCATTATGCTGAATGAAATAGGCCAGGCATTGAAGGACAAATACCATATGATCTCACCTTTGACAGGAAGCTAAAGAATAAAACAAACAAGCAAACAGAACAAAAACAAAGACGCTGAAATAGAGAACAAGTGGGCAGCGACCAGAGGGGAGAGGGAAGGGAACTTAAGGGGAAAAAGGGGGAGGGATTTTGAGGAACAAGTATGAAGGACACAGAGATGAGGACTGGGGGGGGCGGAATGGGAGGGAGGGGGGAGACCGGGCGGGGGGGTGGGGTGGGATGGGAGAAATAGATTAAAAAAAAATGTACTTGAAAAGTAACTAAATAAAATTTATATTAAAAATAAATAAATAAATAAATAAAATGTGGTCCCTTCTTAAGTGTTAAATATCTTAAGTGTTGCCCATGCTCTTACCTTTCAATGTATTCTTAGAATTAAAATGTTTTATAAGTGGATGTCATATTCAGAATAACTAGATTATCCTGAAAAAAATTACAGAATTAGTTATATAACAACTTCAGGGATGCTGTTTTGATCTTAAGCAACCCAGAAAAGGAGTCTTTTTTTTCCTTTTTGAGAACTCCTACAAAAGGAAACGTCTAAGTCTCCATTGGAAGCAGGTTTCAGTGGTGCAAGAACCATCTGAGAATGATTCCTGGAGGAATGAGGAAAATGCTGAGAATCAAATACCACTGTGGTCACAGGTCCCAGCAGCCAGGACTCCCCAGATAGTCCTGGAGCTGTGGGTGGAGGGCACTGGGCGGAGGCACCTATTGTGCTAAAATGACCACACTAACAGAAACCAACAAGACAGTCTCACTATTTTGGGATATAAATAGTTTAGACTTGCTGTCACTACTGATCAGAATTCTAAAACTTCCCAAGAGCCCTTGAACTATTCAAGAACTACTGATTTTTTTCCCTAGAATTTTAAAAGTAAGGGATCTGGCTAAGTTGTTTGAAAAGTTGCTACCCAAGTAATACAATATCAGCAGATAGTAAATCATTCTGCCCTGAGTGAAGCAATTTAGACTGCATGTTGTTATAGAGATAAACTGTCCACAAGAATCTACTTTTTCCTTAGGCACACAGCTAGGCTGCATTTCCCAGACTCCCCTGTTGTTAGGTGAGCCAGGAGATCAAATTCTACACTGGAGTGTGAGCGGAAGTGGAGTTTGCCATTACTGGGTGGGGGAGGGGTGTTTCAAAGGAGCAGCTATGCCTTCCCAGAGTTCTCTTTCTATTGGAGAGAAGGAATCCACCAATGCCATAGTGAACCTTGAAAGCTCCATGGTGAAGATAGAGCTTCTGCCAGCTTTGTTTTCCAAACAACTGCATAAAGCAGAGGTTTCCTGCAACAAGAACCTCAGCCTGGGCTGATGTATGAGTGAGGACTAAGTGTACTTTATACTTAAGCCATTGTGTGTTTGGGCCTATTTATTACAGCAGTTGAGCATTGAAGAGTGGCAGACTAGATCACCTCCAAATATGCCATGTTTTTGAGTAAGCATTATTTTGGAGTAAATAGACTTGTAAAACAGCAGGTTCAGGAAAGGCACTGGTACCTCCCCTTTTCTTCCTGAAGCAGGAGTTAAAAATCTATGTAAAAGAGGCCCTACCTACACCAGGGAGAAAGAAACATTCCTATCACCAGAGACTGGGAATCAAGGCTGAGAAATCTGTACAGACCTTGTTAAAATAAAATAACTCTTCCTCTAGACTCCCTGTATATCTTAGTTACTTTTCCACAATTGCTTCTCTTTGTTCAGTGTTCATTAGCGCTTTGGCTTGGCCATTTCTTTGGGTTTCCACTTTCCACTAGAGGGTCCCATGTACATGTAAAATCAGGAAAAAATAGGGGAAAAAGAGGGATTTTGAGGAACAAGAGAAAGACACGGGGGGGGGGAAGAAGTGGGGGGATAAAATAGATTAAAAAAAATGTACTTGAAAAGTAACTAAATAAAATTTAATATTAAAAAAAAAATCTGTAGGCTTTTCTTCAGTGACTCTGTCTCACATCAACCTAATTCTCAGGTCCACACAGAGAACCTAAGAGAATAGAAGTAAAGTACAGTCTCCTGACAGCATGTCCCAATTAGTACATCTGTCGTATTTTAAAACTCCACATCCTGCCCTGGCTGGTGTGGCTCAGTGGGTGGAGGGTTGGCCTGCAAACCTAAAGGTCACTGGTTCACTTCCTGGTCAAGGCACATACCTGGGTCATGGGCCTGGTCCCCATTTGGGGGTGTGCAGGAGGTAACCAGCTGATATTTCTCTCCCTCTCTTTCTCCCTCCCCCCTTCTCTCTAAAAATACATAAATAAAATCTTTAAAAAGTAGTAAAAAATAAAACTCCATGTTTTTTCTAAAATTACATGGGAGTAGAGATACCTTAACTTCGTTTTGTACTTTTCATGTTGTCAAAGGTGCTTTCATATGTGTTACCATCAGAAACCTCACAGCAACCTTCGAAAAACACTAACACTGGAAAAATATATAAGTATATATATATATATATATATATATATATATATATATATATATTAAAAAATAGTACTTCAGTAAAATAACTTAAGGAGCCACCATTTTAAATAACAGAAATAAATACACAGTTCAAGCTTTTGATGTGCAATAGAAAATTTAAAAAATTAATTTTTAGAGCCATTAAAAAAGCAAAAATTAGAGTTTCAGTGTCAAACCCAAAATGCTAATAAACATACTGTGATGGTCTACTTTCATGGTGCAGCTCACCAATAAGAAAGTATTAACAAAACCAACATCCTTACCTGCGATAGATGATATGTTGATGATGATACCGCCGTCACCTCCGTTTTGCTTACTCATGTAGTCCAAACCAAGATAGGTCCCACTGATGACAGAAACCTAGTCCAGAGGCAGGAAGGAGACAAGCAACAAAGCCATTACGCTCTGTCATACAGTCCCACACCAGTGTCCACCACTATCCCAGGCGCCAATGTAGATTCCCACAACTGCTATTAATGAAGGGTTTTGAAATGGCCTTTTTTTTTTTTTTAAACAGTTAGTCATTGACTTGGATTCTCTTGTTTGCCTGAAGTTGTGGAGCTATCACATCTCAGCAGAACTCCACTTAGTTGTCCAATCTGAGATTTTATAATAAAGAATCTCAGATTGGACAACTAAGTGAAGCCTTTTACCCTGTAGTGTTTGTCAGCATTAACCCAATTCTCAGTAGCTCTACGAATTCTACCTATTCTTTTTCTTTTCTAAATATTGGATATAAAATTGATTTATCCTTATTAGAAGCATATGGTTCTCATGTCCAGGGAGTCCACATCCATCTTCCCTATGTAATAATCTTAGATCTTGCAATACATAATAGTAGATACCCTTAATTTCCTAGTTTTCATTTGCTTTATTTTTCCCTGATGAAAACTCTATTTTGCATTTGTATCTACTTTTTCCCCAGGTAATACAGAGGAAGATGATCTCCTAGCTCTAGTGTAGACACTGGTTAATCTAATTCAGCTGTGGAAATCCCATTCTCCTTGCCAGTGAATGGTTTAGCAGCTGGGAGGTGACCCATTTTTGGCCAGTGAGGCTTGAAGAGCAGTCAGTGGAGCACGGGGTGCAGGGGGAGGTCTGGGTTGGGGAAGAGGGATGGAAAAAAAGTGCTGAGACTCAGAGAAAATTTTCATTACTCTTAAGAAAACCAGCAAGAAATTATTACATGACTCCTTTGTCATTGCTTTGTATGGCTGCATTGAATATTGCTAACTATTATCTTTATGATGAACCAGCAAAAAGGATGGCAGTTGGAAGAGTAGATAAGAAACTGAGATGGAACCACAAATGGTCTTGACCCCGAAGTTCTGTCATGTGAGGTCAACTTTCACCGGTTCAAGCAGGAGATTTCCTGTCACTTGGGTCATATGGTCCTTAGTAATGTCCGTCACTTAATTGTGTTCGTCACAGCTTACAACTGTGCTTTTGATGGTTCACTCGGCTTCAGTACTCATCACCACATGTACACACCTTTTCTGTTTTATTTTAACACTTAAGAATTCACCACTACTCAAAGAAGCTTGGGATATGAAACTTCTATTTGAAATCTTATTTTCCCTTTTAACTTAAGAACTCTCTCCCTTCTAGCTCAGACTTGTCAAAGGTGAAAATTTTCTTTTCACATCTTAATTCCTACTTTTTTTCATTCTTTGTAATACTGCAAAGAAAATGATATGACATAATGAGTCTGGAACTGAGGGCACATACTAGTCTTCACCTTCTTTTAATTTAAAAAGTTCTTTGCGAGTATTTTGAAAAGCATTCAGAGTTGCCTCTCTGCCTCCTAGGAGTTTACAAAGAAGTAAATTGAAGATTCTATTCACTTAAGCTGTGTGTCAGTTTGGTATTAAGTAGGCTTAGACAGCGTGAGGAAAATATCCACATGAGTCCCTTTAAAAAGGAAACACAAAACATTAATGGTTTGTGTAAGGAGGAAAAAATGTAGATGGTTGAAATGACTGCAGTTAGATGCTCTTAGCTTCTGCCCGAGTCTCCAGCATGTCTGAGCAGAACTTCTGTTCACGCGTGTTGGCACTACGCTTCTATTCTCAGGTATTTACAGCGTGCTGACACTCCACTTTTGTGGTTTCAGCATCTACAAGATGCAGCCAGACAGAAAATTTGGGAATGTGTAAGCTTTATGTTAATTTTTTAAAAGAAAAATTGATTCCCAGATCTTTGGTGGAGGAGGAGGACAAAGGATAATTTTCTCATCCATTACCAGGATAAGAACTGCGTAACTTTTCAATGAAAATATTCTTGGAATAAATCTGTATGACAAGGCCTAATGCTTTGCCTTTCCGGTTCTTGTCTTTTCTTTAGTTCAGTTCTCAAGAAACATACTAATATACATGATCCCTTTTTCTTTTTTTTTTTTTTTTTTTTTTTTTTTTTTCATTATTTTCTTTTTTTTTTTTTTTAATTTTTAATTATTTATTTATTTATCTTTAAGTACATTTTTTTTTCCCCTTCCCCCCCCCCGCCCGGTCTCCCCCCTCCCTCCCATTCCCCCCCCACCCCCAGTCCTCAAGTCTGTGTCTTTCATACTTGTTCCTCAAAATCCCTCCCCCTTTTTCCCCTCAAGTTCCCTTCCCTCTCCCCTCTGGTCGCTGCCCACTTGTTCTCTATTTCAGCATCTTTGTTTTTATTCTGTTTGCTTGTTTGTTTTATTCTTTAGCTTCCTGTCAAAGGTGAGATCATATGGTATTTGTCCTTCAATGCCTGGCCTATTTCACTCAGCATAATGCTTTCCAGTTCCATCCATGTTGTTGCAAAAGGTAGTAGCTCCTTCTTTCTCTCTGCTGCATAAAATTCCATGGTGTATATGTACCACAATTTTTGGATCCATTCATTTACTGATGGGCACCTAGGTTGCTTCCAACTCTTGGCTATTGTAAATTGTGCTGCTATGAACATTGTGGTGCATAGGTTCTTTGAAATTGATGTTTTAGGATTCTTGGGGTATAATCCTAGCAGTGGAATTGCTGGGTCAAAAGGCAGGTCAATTTTTATTTTTCTGAGAAAATTCCATACTGTTTTCCATAATGGTTGTACCAGTCTACAATCCCACCAACAGTGAACTAAGGACCCCTTTTCCCCACAACCTCTCCAACATTTGTTGTTTGTTGCTTTGTTTATGATAGCCATCCTGACTGGTGTAAAGTGGTATCTCATTGTGGTTTTAATTTGCATCTCTCTGATAGCTAACGATATTGAGCATCTCTTCATGTGTCTCTGAATGTTCTGTATGTCCTCCTTGGAGAAGTGTTTGTTCAAGTCCTTTTCCCATTTTTTAATTGGGTTGGGTGTCTTCTTAGAGTGGAGTCGTGTAAGTTCTTTGTATATTTTGGAGATTAAACCTTTGTCTGAGGTATCATTGGCAAATATGTTTTCCCATACAGTTGGTTGTCTTTTTAATTTAATACTGTTTTCTTTAGCCATGCAGAAGCTTTTTATTTTGATGAGATCCCATTTGTTTATTCTTTCCTTTATATTCCTTGCTCTAGGGCACATATCCGTAAAAATGTTGCTGCGTGGAATATCTGAGATTTTCTTGCCAATGTTCTCCTCTAGGACTTTAATGGTGTCATGGCTTATATTTAAGTCTTTTATCCACCTTGAATTTATTTTGGTGTATGGTGTAAGTTGGTGCTCAAGTTTCATTTTTTTGCACGTAGCTGTCCAGTTCTCCCAACACCATTTGCTGAAGAGGCTATCTTTACTCCATTTTATGTTACTGCCCCCCTTTGTCGAATATTAATTGACTGTAGAGGGTTGGGTTGATTTCTGGGCTCTCTGTTCTGTTCCATTGGTCTATGTGCCTGTTTTTATGCCAGTACCAGGCTGTTTTGATTACAGTGGCCTTGTAATACAGTTTGATATCAGGTATTGTGATCCCTCCTACTTTGTTCTTCTTTCTCAAAAGAGCAGCTGCTATTCGGGCTCGTTTATGATTCCATATAAATTTTTGAAGTGTTTGTTCTATGTCTGTGAAATACGCCATTGGTACTTTAATAGGTATTGCATTGAATCTGTATATTGCTTTGGGTAGTATGGACATTTTGATGATGTTAATTCTTCCAATCCATGAACAAGGTATATGTTTCCATTTGTTTGTGTCTTCCTTGATTTCTTTCTTCAGTGCTGTGTAGTTTTCTGCATACAGGTCTTTTACCTCTTTGGTTAGGTTTATTCCCAGATATTTTATTTTTCTTTTTGCTATATCGAATGGGTTTTTTTCCTTGATTTCCGCTTCTGCTGATTCATTGTTTGTATACAAAAATGCCTTTGATTTCTGGATATTGACTTTGTATCCTGCTGTTTTGCCAAACTCATTAATTAGTTTGAGCAGTTTTTGGGTAGAGTCTATAGGATTTTCCATGTACACTATCATGTCATCTGCAAACAGTGACAATTTTGTTTCCTCCTTTCCTATTTGGATGCCTTTTATTTCCTTTTCTTGCCTGATCGCTGTGGCCAAAACTTCTAATACTATATTGAATAGGAGTGGTGAAAGTGGACATCCTTGTCTTGTTCCTGATCTTAGTGGAAAAGCTTTTAGTTTTTGTCCATTGAGTATGATATTGGCTGTAGGTTTCTCATAAATGGCCTTTATTATATTGAGGAATGTTCCCTCTATTCCCATTTTGCTGAGTGTTTTTATCATAAATGGGTGTTGTACCTTATCGAAAGCTTTTTCTGCGTCTATTGATATGATCATGTGGTTTTTGTCTTTGCTTTTGTTTATGTGATGAATTACATTTACTGTTTTGCGAATGTTGAACCATCCTTGCATCCCTGGGATGAATCCCACTTGGTCAGGGTGTATAATCTTTTGGATATATTGTTGGATGCGATTTGCTAATATTTTGTTGAGGATTTTAGCGTCTATGTTCATCAGCGATATTGGCCTGTAGTTTTCTTTCTTTGTTGTATCTCTATCTGGTTTTGGAATTAGGATGATGCTGGCTTCATAAAAGGAGTTAGGGAGTTTTCCATCCTTTTGTATTTTTTGGAATAGTCTGTGAAGAATGGGGGTTAGGTCTTCCTTAAATGCTTTGTAGAATTCTCCTGTGAATCCATCTGGTCCAGGGCTTTTGTGTGATGGGAGTTTTTTGATTACTGCTTCAATTTCTTTTGCTGTTATTGGTCTATTCAGGTGTTCTACTTCTTTTTCATTGAGTTTTGGGAGATTATATTTTTCTAGAAATGTGTCCATTTCCCCTAGGTTCTCAAATTTCTTGGCATACAGTTCTTCATAGTAATTTCTTACAATCCTCTCTATTTCTGTGGTATCAGTTGTAATCTCTCCTCTTTCATTTCTGATTGTGTTTATTTGT